GCGCCTCTACCCCACCTCTTCCCCCACCCCCCCCATTCCCTGTACCACATACCCGGAAGAATCACATTAAGGTAGGGCCCTAGGAGACCAGCACCCATAGAGCCACTCACACCAGGTAATACATAACAACATAACACGGTAGAGAATAAAACTGGAAACCAATGGGCAGACACATCACACGGGCTCGACAAAGCTAAACACCTACCCAGGACATGGGTGGAGGACCCGGACGGGACTAATACCCACAACACAAAATGGAATCCCGAGGCAGCAAATGCCAAAAATCCCCAAGGGGTAGGAAACAGGCAGTAAGACCAAGCGCCACGCCAAAGCCAAAAGGTCAACCAACCTTGCTGGCCCAGTGGGCACTGACCTCAGAAAATATAAACTGTTAAATAAGAACAGAAAACGTGGTACACCACTAAATCCGGACAGAACTTCACTACTAGGCACTGGCCTCACCCTTCCGAAGGGGACCGGTGCTGAAGGTTACTGTTATTGTTGTAAATAAAACCTTGGCAACAGGCGAGCACCCTCAGGGTATAACGCTTGCATTCGTAAAAACACTGTATCTATGTACCTAGACTACCAATGCAGAGCCACATGTATGTAACAAGAAATTGAAGTATATGTGAAATCTCGGCACCTGTGTAAGCCGACCAATGTGGATGTAACGCCTGATATGTCAAGACAAAAATAAAGAATAAATAAAAAAAAAAAGGCCAAGTGTGGCACCATGAAAATCAGTTCCTCTTCACCCTCAACATAGAGCCTCATCTCGTGTGTGGAGGGGGCAGCTATATTCACTCTGGGGATTGCTATACTCATTATCCTCCCCTGGGTTCTAATCACTAGCTCTTATAAGAACTGTTCCTGCTACACTCTCTGGAGTAGGAGAGGTTCACCCACTGGAAGCTGGATCCTGGTCTTAGGTCCAGGGTGGGTGGAGGACGGCGACTCCCACCATGGACCTTGGACAGCTAAGGGGCTACAGTGCTGATGGTGTCTGGTGGAGTGCTTGGAGTCCTCGGTGAGCACTAGGAGCATCGATTGATGGAGGTACCCGGCCGGGGTGGCAGGCGGTCCTTCACAATCACTATAGATCAGGAACACAAATATGTATTCCTGACCCTATAGTGTTAAAAAAACACCATCTAGCCCCCCATGGCTCTCCTTTGCCCCCTAAATATAGGACAATGCTACTTGTATTCAAGTCTGCAGCTGCGGCCTCTGCGTCTGAACTGCTTGCTGTCTGCTGACATCATCATAAGTGATTCTGTAAGCCAATCACAATTCTTTCCCATAGGATTGGCTGAGACTATCAAGGAGGCAGATCAGGAGCAGAGCCAGCATAAATCAAACACAGCCCTGGCCAATCAGCACCTCATAGAGATGTATTGAACCAGTGGATCTCTTTGAGGAAGGTTCAGTGTCTGCATGCTGAGGGTGGAGGCACTGAATGGCAGCACTGCCCCAGGACGCACCTCTATTAGCCATCTGATGAGTGGCCAGTGGAGTTATTCATATGCTGTAATGTAAACACTGCATTTTCTTTGAAAAGCCTGAAGGGAATGATGCTACTCACCTGAAAAAATACAATAAGCTGTAGTTGTTCTGGTGACTGTAGTGTCCCTTTAAGTAGAGCATACAATACACAAAAAGAGAGAGATGCGACGGTGGACAAACTGGAGCAGTTGATCGATCAATCTGAGATGCTAGATTGATCAAATTGATCAGAATTTTGGTGTGGTTCCTTTGACTACGTAGTATATAAAGTTTAGTGACTCTACTCTGTGAATTATTTAATAAAAATAAACAAACATAATGCACATGGAATTAATTATATATGTGAAAAGTCAAGATTCTTTTGATGCCAGCTGTTTTACTGGATGTTCCATAAAGACCTGTTTATGTTCTTTTGTTACTACTGTGTAAGGTGCAGCATCACATATGTTGCCATTTTTTCATGATGAAGCACTCCTTACATATACATTTGGAGCATTTCTCAACTGAGCTATCACAGCAACATCCTATCTTAAAAGTATTAGTGCTTACAAAAACAATGTAATGGTTAACACACACATTTTACAGCTTCTAAGATGTGCCATATTTTTTCTGGGCACATTTTTTTTTACAAAATTAGTTCTGCAATTCAGTTTTTTGTTCAGTTTAGGCAGTACAGCTATTAGACAAGTCCTTTTTAATCAATACATAGCTGAGATTGATTGGTGAAAGGATACAGTGAACTGTCCATGTTTTATACCATAATTGCACATAAATCATCCGCATAGAGTGCCTTTATTCCTCTTTTTACTGATATATGTTCTTCTTTTTCAGGAGTTTGTCCAGTTGTCCAAAAGACTGATGAACGAACCGGATTTGAAAAGAAGAATTATTTCTAATGCTAAAATGTATATACAGACTCACCATTCTTGGGAGCTAGAAAGGGAGAAATATCAAAGTCTTGTGCTATGTCTGAATAAGGCCTATTGACCGAAGCTGCTTAGAGAACATTTTGCAAGTGTCCACCAGATTCGCCAACAGATTTCTGTTATGCTAAACTGCATTCATTAAATGTTTTATTATATTAGCATTATTATGATATTTTTAAAATTATCTCTTTTCTGTCTTTGTTACATTATTTTTAAAGCAAAGGTGCTTAGATGTTTAAGTCATGTGAGAACCTCAAGAACGGTATCGTTTTTTTGTTTTGTTTTTTAAGATGCCTTGCTTATATACATTTATATAAATATTAGTCATTTTTTTCAAGAACCTGTTTGGTTGTCCCAGGTAGTTATAGAATTTACAGCTTGTAGTGTCTGTGTTTTAAATATGTTTTCTGCTGGTGTTTAATTCTAAATTAGCATTTTTTGTTTGGTTTCTGCTGGTGTAAAATTCTAAAAAAAAATGTATTTTATTTTTTTTCCAGTAAGGGTAATGATTTTAAACAGTGTGATATTCATTTCAAATGTGTTTATTTAATTTATTAAACATCCTATTTTTAAATGCTACAAATCTTTATGCAACTGCAATCTTTCCGGTAATCAGACCCATGAGAACAAATGTTAAATAATTTTGTATTTAAAAAAAACCCCCACATCTTTTCACTCTTTCTTGACGTATTAAATACATGTATAGGTACACAGAGTGTATAAACATTTTGAACGTTTGTTATCCACATTGCACTAGTGCGGGTGAGAAGTACTTTTGCATACAATCACAGAGTCCGTAGACTAAATTCTATTGTTTTACCGCTGTTAAACATATTTTTTTTTGGTTATTTATTCTTTTGTATCAAATTATAATCATGTTATAAAAAAGTGCTTATGATCAGCTACCTCCTTTTTAATTGCCATGGAATACATATGTACAATGACTGTGCCACCTACCTGATTGTCTGTTTGTCTATTTATGCCACATCATTTGAATATTACATACTTATCCAGCATTGTTGATTATGTTATACATTGATCTCTGTTTGGATTTTTTTTTATCTTTGGAAAAATTAGTTATTCGAAGCATCATAACTACAACAGCCTGTGCAGGTTATGATGTGAGGAGTACTCTGACCCTATTTCCAAGTAATGGGCAAAAATGTTTATCCAAAGGTTTGCGCTCTTTCCTGTGTCCACCTGGGCGCATCCATGGGTTAAACTCTGTATGTGCAGTATTTCATAACAGAACACTACACATACAGCAAAGGCGTGCGCAGCCTATTGCATTAGGGTGTGCACCCTAAAGCACAAGCACACGCCGCGTATATGTATGTATGTATGTATGTATATATGTATGTGTGTGTGTGTGTGTGTATGTATATATATATACACACACACATACTGCTGTGTGTGTGCTGTTAGTGTGAGGATACTGGTAGTGTGCTATGTGGGTGAGGGTGTTTGTGTGTGCGCGCTTGTGAGGGTGCTGTTAATGTACTGTGTGTGAGGGTGCTGTTTGTGTGTGTGTGTGTGCTGTTAATGTACTGGTAGTGTGCTGTGTGTGTGTTAGGGTCCTGTTTGTGTTTGTGAGGGTACTGTTAGTGTGCTGTGTGTGTGTGAGGGTTCTGTTTGTGTGCTGTGTGTAAGGGTGCTGTGTGTGTTTGTGAGGGTGCTGTGTGTGTGTGTGTGGGTGCTGTGTATGTCTGTGGGTGCTGTATGTGTGCAGGTGCTGTGTATGTGTGGGTACATTACTTAATATCCCCCCTCCCGTCTTACTTTATGTAGGGAGGGGGGATCCTTTCTGCCATCCCTGTTGGTCCAGTGGAGAGTGAACTCTAGCCTGCGGCAACGCTCAGATCTCGCAAGAGGAGCCCGGCGGAGCTGCCGGCAACAGCTCCCCAGGTCCTCTCCTGTCTCCCTCCCTGCATGTGGGTCGGTGGGGAGGGATGCTGAGAGCAGAGCCGGCGCTCGGGGAGCGCCAGCTCTGCATGAGCCAACAGGGAAGATCCTGAGATCTCCCCTGCCGGTCTCACTCCATAGGCGTGCCGAGGGGATTAGGGTGTGCCCAGGCACACCCGGCACACCCCGTGCGCACGCCTATGACATATAGACTGCGGCACCATAACTACTTCAACTTACTTAAGTGGCCAAGACATAATAAAAAAATGTAATTTAGCCCATCCAAAGCATTACACATGAATTTATTAAAAATTCTGGGAATTCCAAATTGACATATAACAATTTGACTCGAGACATGATTTTATGTATCACATTTCTAGTTTTTTAAGTTTTTTCATAAATTCTTATTAAACTTTTTAGACAAATATTGTTCTCACAACTATATTTTGTTTTCCATTATGGTATATCAGTTCATTTATGGCATCTAGGCTTCGAGAGGCAATTTTGTCCTTTTGCAGTTCGTCTGACATCAATTCTGTTAGACATCTTGTACTTTCTATTCTTTGTCCTCAAACCTTTTATCCTCATAATTAAATATTCGTTTCTATATGGCATATAAAAGCTGTAGTGATAAGAGACTGTGCGTTATTTATTTATTTGTTTTTTCCCCCCAGTAAATTCTCCTTTCACTTTACATTTCTATATCTAGTTTAAACTAAAAAAAGGGAAATTCATACAAGTTTTAAATATAATGTAAATAGTTACAATTGTGCTTTTCATAACGTCATGCTAGAGACTTCATTATTTAGATTACTTTAAGTGTATTCACAATGATACCATGCATGCATATTTCTCTATGGGGTATAAAAGGAACTTTCTATTTCAAATATGTAACAAAATTAGATGTTTAAAAAAAAAAAAAAGTTTTGATGGATTGTATTTGTTTCTGAAGGGAGTTTTATCAATCTTTGCTCTCACCTCAGTAGCAAAATATATTTGTTGTTGTTGCAAGTAATCCAAAATGCCTGCCTTCTTTTCTACTAATCACAAAAAAAGAAAATTTAATCTGATTTGAAAAAAATAAATTGTGAATAAAATATATTCGTAAAGTGATGTTGTACATCTGTTGAATATCCAGCGTCGCTCCATTTGTGAATAAGCAGAAATAGAATCAATAAGCTTCACAATAAGTCTTAAAGGTTTGTACAAATTTCCAACTCTGTGGCTCAGCCTGGGGATCTGTATACTAAACAGTGTATTGTTGGGGTTACAAGGGTTATAGTTTTAAGGCAAGCAAGGGTTATGGTTAGTCCATTTTGGGGGATTGACAAATGGCATCTCTAGAAAGCAAGCAGAGAGACATATGTAAATTAGGGCATGTCTGTTGTGTGGCCCTATTAACCTCTAAAAAAACCTGGAAAAGGGGATGCATATGAGTTGTTGCTGTAATGAGGATGCAGCAAAATTTAATTCTGGGATCATTAAAATAGTAGGAAATAGAAGATCTATAGAATTCTGTAGAATTGTGCGGGTGCCATGTCACTAGGGACACCAAATGACAGACATAGCTCGCGCACATAGTGGCTGGTCTGCATTTGCTGCTGCTGTGTGGTGGTCGCTGAGGCTGGTCACAGAGAATTTCATTGGTAGTGCACTGTAACATCTGCATGAGAAGGAGAATACTCACTATTTTGTTCTCCTTCTTGTGCAGGCCTGCGACGCAGTGGCAGAGCTTCAAAAGCCATCCATATGTAAGGGAAGCGGGGCAGAGCCATATGGGTTCTGGGGCAGAACTAAATGCAGCTTGAACCCACTGCCTGGTTACTGCGACACTCTGAGGGTGACACTGGAAGGAGTCCCTGCTTCCCCAACAGATAGGCACCAAGGATCAGAGTGCCTCCACTTCCTCCCCCCATTAGCCTGTAATGGAAAGAGGTAACTACCTGTATGTGTATGACTGACTGCCTGTACCTGTGTGTGTGTGTGTGTGTGTGTGTGTGAGACTGTCTTCCTGTAAATGTCTATGGTTGCCTGCCTATGTTTGTGTGGGACATTGCCTGTGTCTGTGTGTGTACGACTGTCTGTCTGTACCTGTGTGTGTGACTGTTTGCTTGTAACTTTGTATGTGTGATGGTTAGGGATGTGCATGGGCAAAAAATTTGATTCGGAAATTCGGGTAAGTTTAAAAAAAAAAAAATTGTCGGCTTCGGCAATTCAGACCAATGGCATTCAGTTCGGCACTTCCAAACTCCGGCAATTCAGAACTCCGGCAATTCTGACATTCGTAAGTGTGAATGTCGCAATTGCATGAAACAAATTGCACATATCTAGACAGTGGTTGACAATTCTGGGCAACCCTAACCACTTACACATCTGTAGGGCTCTCAGCGCCAGGATTGCCACCACAACCACTTACACATCTATAGGACTTCCAGTGCCAGGAATTAGCTTATTGGTCAAGATTCCTGTCATCATTTACGTAATTTTACATGCCTCTCTTGTTTTGCCACTTTTCAGAAATCCAAAGCACTTCGGAACTTCAACAATTCGGAACTTTGGTTCGGCACTTCCGAACTACCAAACTTTGGCACTTCGGACATTCGTAAGCATCCAAAATTCACAGTTTGAATGTACATTTGGAACTAAACTAATTGCACATGTCTAGTGATGGTCTGCCTGTAACTAAGTGTCTAGTACTGTATTTGACAGTGTATTTGTTTAACAGTGTGCACCTAACTGTGGGGCTGTGTACATGTGGCTGGAAAAATACATATCTGCTTTCAGTGAGACAGCAACTAATGGCTGGATTTAGCCATATGTAAACATAGCAGTTTCTTTGAAACTGCTATGTTTACAGCAGGCAGGGTTAACCCTAGATGGACCTGGCACCCAGACCACTTCATTGAGCTGAAGTGGTCTGGGTGCCTATAGTGGTCCTTTAAGTATCCATTTCCTGTGGTCAAATACATTTTCCCACAATACTCACCTTCCTCCATGATCTCGCGTTGCTTCATTTGAACGTCCTGTCATATAGACAGGACTCAGGTGAAAGTACCGAATTTTGTCCTAACAGAATGAGTACAGTTTCTCCATTTGTGTTAGGACAAAATTTGTACATTTTGTTTGGTTCGAAATTTAATTTGAATGAATGAAATTACGTTCCGATTTGTGCCGTGGCTGCATTGCATTCCACGGTTTGGGAAGGCTGTATAAGTCGGCGCGGTGCCCTTGTTCGGGTAAGATGGTTTTTTTTTGCATTTGGATTTCTTTCTTTTTTTCCCTTTTTTTTTTTTTTTTTTGCACTCATGTTTTTTTTTTTTTTTTTTTATAAGTGCGATGGGAATTATGTAATTTTATTTGGCTTTTTTTGGGGCAGTAAAAAGAAGACATATTGTGGTAAGTATGATTTTAAATATATATTTACAAGTATTGAGCTTATTGCTCCCCCCTCACTATTTTTAGGGTTTTATTTTATTGGGACAGGGGTTGTGACTTGAGGCTTGGGTAGCCCTAGTCACCTGGGGAGGGGAAACAGGTCCCCTCTCATGTCACTGTGGGACCCAACCCGCCACTCATGGAAGGGGACCAAGGGGGAGTCAATAGGTGCTACTTAGGACAATAAGTTACTTTTGTTACTTCGAGCCCCCATCTGCCATTTATGGGTGGTGGCCAGAGGGGGACCATTTAGTTTAGTACGGGGCACATTCATTATTTAAATAGGTACCCCACCATGGGGCATTTTTTTTTTTTTTTTTGGAGTGGGAGGGAAGTCTTTTATTATCCCTTATAGTGAGCCACCATGCCCCTACTCGCAGCATAGCGAGTAGGGGCAGAATGGAGATGTTAAATGACCTTATTTACTAATACTAAGTCATTTTTACTTAGTATTAGTAAAGTTGTCTAAAAGACAAATTTTGGTCTTTCAGCCTTTTTGTAGATAGCTCCCTAATTCCCATGGTATTAGAGGGCCATCCACTAAGCCGTTGCAAGATGCAGTTGCGGCACGAATTGGACCAGAATTTCATTAATTCGAATGAAATTTAGAACAGAACAATATGCTACTGTTTGAGCTACTATCGCTCAAATTGCGGAAAAACTTAACACTGACCAGAAATGTGTATAGAAAGGTGTTAGAGCACACAGTGCTTCAAATTCTGCTTTGCATGAGACTGCTTAGCAGCAGACTGGTTGAGGTCCATGATAAACCCTGTCTTCTGCCGAAAGCACCTTGATTGGGGACATAAGCCTCAGAACTGGACCATAGAGCAATGGAAGAAGGTTGCCTGGTCTGATGAATTATGTTTTCTTTCAGATGAGGTGTATGGCCAGGTGCATGTGTGCCGTTTACCTGGGGAAGAGATGGTAGCAGGATGCACTATTGGAAGAAGGCAGTCTGGTGGAGGTAGGGCTATGCGCTGAGCAATGTTCTGCTTTGAAACCTTGGAATTCATGTGGATTTTACTTTAACACATACTACCGACCTAGAGATTGCTGCAGACCACGCACATCCCTTCATGGCAATAGTGTTCCATTATGCCAGTGGTTTTTTTCAGCAGGATAGTGCACACTGCCACATTGCATATATTGTTCATAAATGGTTTTAGGAACATGTCAAATAGTTCAAGGTGTTGATTTGTCCTCCAAATTCTCCAGAGCTCAATTGTGAAGTCCATGCCTCAAGGTATCAGAGCAGTTTTGGCAGGGGAACCTACATGATATTAGCAAGCTGTTTTAATGTTGTGGCTATTCAGTGTATATTAAAATGGAATGAATACACAGCAAATGTTAAAAAACAATGTCGTAACAAAACACAGAATCTCACAAAAACCTTGATCACAAAAGGGTTTCTAGTCTTAAAAATCATAACTCTTTTTGCTGCTGTCAAAAGCCACATGTATAATAAAGAAACACAAAAAAATAATGCTTGAATCCAAATGCACTTTATATAACATATAATAGTTCAAGAAATATAAAAATGTAAATACAGTCACAGAACAAATCTATTTTTAATTTTATTGATCCAGATGTCTTTCAAGTCTGTGAACCTGATTTGCATTCCTTATACATTTTATTCTCATTGAAGTTTACTAGTTTTTCAAGAATACACACAAAATTTATTAACTTTATAGCTATCAAATGATTGAACAAATTGACAACAAGGACTTTCCAGATGTACTTTAATGTGATGAAAACTCAAAGTAGAATCCTGTTTTGACTTCAAATGTTCTGTCCGTCTCAGCAGGTTTCCTCTGAAATGCATGTCTTCTTGCAGCCTCCTGTTATTACAGAAAATGTTGTAACAGGCAAACTATTATTTTTTTATATTGTAATTTGCGTAAGTGTGCTGATTAATATAAAATCTACATACAAGAACAGTTAAGGAAAAGTTTTAGGTTCAATAGTGGTTCAAATAATTTTCTAGACAGGACATATTTATATATCATAGCAATATAACCTGAGGAAAGACTTCCTCATGTCCATTTATTAGTTCGACTGTGGCTGTACATATGGTAAGACCAAACACGATAAAACTCCCGACAGTAAAAATACAAAAATGACTATTCGGCATTACCTGCATATCTCAAGCTGGACTATGCAAATGAATTCTTTGGTATAGAAACTCGAAAAATCATGTTTCCACAACTAACATGTTTGATTTCAACACAATCTTGCAGGTCGTGCATAACAGTAACTTTTGTATTTGCCCTGTGGGGAGTTTTTACATGTTTGTGTCACCACAATCATTTTTATACCTAGCTCTATGCTCTCAGAGATGCTTGAACTTCCAGGAACAGGACCGGTGCCATGTGTAATGAAACCTAGTCTACTTAGATCAGTCATGCAGCCAATCTCCTGGTAGCTGTAGGGATGTCATGTAGGTAGGCATTAGAGGTGCAAGTAGGAACAGAGGATAGACGCAGGTCTTTGGCAGAGCGTATGGGCCAAGACAGGACACACTTGTGCATTAGTGAGGATAGGTAGTTAGGAGACGCATTATGTAGAGATTTGCATTTGCATTTACTTCTAAATGTTACAG